TAGTATAGTTAACTAGATTTTATCATAATAGTTTTTTTTAATAATTAGATTTTTTACTAATTATAAATGGTTTTCTTCATATATACTAAAAGCTAATACATAATATAATATAATGCAATATGATACATATATATAATTAAATTATATATCTAATCAATGTTAATTAAATATAAAAATAAAATATATTTATGAAAAAGTTATTTACCATTTAAAGTTCAAAGTTTGTTTCATTTGAAATTAATATTACATTAAAATTAATTTTTCAAATAAATAAAACTTTGTAAACTAAATATAATGTAAACATTTAAAAATTTTGTCTTATTAATAGTTAATATTAAAATTATTATATAATTTATTTTTATTTTTCAATAATACATATGCATGTACGTAATTGTTTGGGTAAAAAAATATTATACACAAACAATATTTAGTGTTGTAAGATTGCAGATTTATTGCTACTCAACTAGCTAAGACTCAGGCAGGGGCACACGAGGTTAAGGCTTTCAGTCTTAGAGAAGTCACACTTGAGGAGAATTATATAGTGGTGACACATGGCAGCTGAAGCTAAGGTGGCAGGCCACATGTGATGGCAACGAGTGACACGATGGTGACTAGTTAAGGGGCCACGTGGCAGCTTCTCAGAGGTTTCACATGGCACTTTGAAATTTTTAGACAAATCAGATTATTACCTCAGTAATCACTAGCGAAAATACTGAATCCCTAATCCAATTAACGACAAAACAAGTACCAATGAAAAAAAATTATGTTGATAATTCCATTATTGATTAGACTTAGTCACTAACATGTCGCTAACTCTATCGCTAAGTTATTTTTTAAATATAATAACAGAAAAATACGTATTTACCCAATAATTTGGTTCTAAATTATTTAATCATGTTAATTTTAATTTGATTTTAAACATGATATATTTTGATATAATAGTCAAGATATTTTTATCATTTATATTTTTACTCATTTTCTCTCCTTTTAACTTTTCTTCTCATTGTAGTTAATGTTAGCATAGGTGGGAGACAGTGCCACTGCAGTTAATTAATTTAAATTTAATTTCTTTTTCTTAATTAACAAAATTTTCCCAGCATGATAAAGATGACCTGGGATCATTCACAATAAAAACCTTTTTTAAATGACGACTATTTTATTATTTTCTAAATAAGGGATCAGGTGGGGTGGCACGCCAGTTCAATACTTTCTCTATTTTCAAATTATGGACATTTTATAAAATTATATAAATATAGTATTATTGAGTCAAATTTGAGTATTATTAGGTTTAATTTGAAATAATCTCATTCTTGTGTTCGATTTAGGATCACATTTTGAAGGAAAATAAGCTGTTTTTCCTTCCCATAACCACGTTTGACAATTGTTTGCCTGTTTGAATTATCTTTTGTTCATCTTGCTCATGGGCCGAATTTTTTTTTTAATAATTTTAAGCACAATTACATAAGCAACTTAAAGTTACCTATGGCTTATTATGTGCTTATGGGTTGGTGAGAATCATTGAAGACATAATAATTACATGCTGCCCTCTGTCTTTAATATAAAAGTTACATAATTAATTTATAAATATTAAAAAAAATTAGTAGGTTATTTGTAACAAATGAGTGTTTTTTTCTAAAATATTCTTATTAATTATGTATATTGAATTACTCATTTATAAGATTCACTTAATTTGTGCAATCACTGTGTGGATTACTTTGGGTAAAATGGATGAATATAAGAGATAAAAATGATTAAGATCTTGTATTTTAGACCAAATTGAATATACAACTAAATCTTATATTAATAATAAGATAGAATTAAACTTGTTTTTTCAATAATAATCCAAAAATTTTCTACTTGTATAAACTTTTTTATTTATAAAAATCAACCTAAATATAAATTAAATTATCCAATCTAATTTTTACTCAATCTAAAGTTTCTAAAATCCCAATTAAGAATAAGCCACTTTTTATTATCAATCCAACGAAAAGGCCCTAAGCATTTATGACTCGTTCCACTAAAATCAATTTCAGTTAATTTGTTTTTTTTTTCCCGCCACATCAATTGGTTCAAATATTTGATGTTCGCCAGAATATGTACAAAATAAAAAATATTAAATAATTTGAATTATCACAAAATATAGAGTAAAATACGTTAACTTCCCTTCAATTTAACCTAAGTTATTATTCAATTTAACCTAAGACCTAAGTTATTACGTATACTTCTTTTTTCATTTTGAAATCCTATATGAACTTTTTTTAAAATAAAAATATCTGTTACGTAAACCTTTCTTTTAGTTTTCAAATTCAACTTTTATCTACTTAACTGTCAGTTAACAGTTAAATCATATTGTGGAAGTATTATTTTAATCAAAATGCCTCTTCTTAACATAGATATTACCTAGTAAAATTATCACTTAATCACATATGGCATATTTTTATTAAAAAATGAAAAATAATTTTAATACTTATTTTCATATTTTTTTTGTTATATTATTAAATTGATTAAAATTTTACAAATTTAATTAATTTTTTAAATATATTTTTTATTTTTCAATAAATTTTAATATTTAATCTTTTTTATTCATTAAAACTTACTTGCGATGTAATCTTTTAAATATACATGCTGGCAGAAAATATTTTGCAATCATTATATGTATTTTCAGTTATATGTATATTTTTGAAATAGAACGAAGGCCTATGTAATAAAAACAAAATAGAAAGGTGGTTAGAATATTTAACTCTGAAACCCAATGTTTCTTTGAAATAATTTCATTAATTCCACAATTATCCTTTTACATATATATTATTCTTTGTCAAAGGTTGATAAGGGCCATCAATAATTCATTATAACTAGAATGCTGTGTTCATTGTATTAAAAAAAAAAAAAAAGGAATGCTGTGTTCACATGAAGATAAGTTACACCACATCTTGCTGATGACTTTTAGATCTACATTCAATTAAATTCAATAAAATAATGATTACTTTAAGACAAAAATATTTTAATAAATATGCGGACGCCACTCTATAAGACAGGACCTCTCATGAGATCCCAATTCCGGTAAGTCTTCAGCTGACTGGGTCTCTGATTCGTCAAAAGTCGAAGCCTAAAAGCCATCATTCTTAGAAGGAGGCTTTGGCAAGGACATATCTTGGGCAATAACTCATTATTTTCACATGGAACTCAGGGCATTATAATTATTCCTAACAAATACTCCCTCTAATTCGTAATATAAGAAGTTAGTTAGAAGTGAATTATAATCCAAAAAAATTAATGACATTTTTGCACTTTTGTCCCCATTAATTGATAATTGATTTTCAGGGTTTTGGGAATGCGGCTCCCCATAATCTGTTTTTCAAGTGTGAAATAGAGAAAAATTTATCATTTTAAGAGAATTTATCAATTGTAAAATATGATGACTAAACTACTATTTCTTGGCTTGTGAAAAAATTAACTAACTTCTTATATTTTGGATCAAATAGAGTGTAAGTTTATTTTCATAAGGTATCATCTTTAATCATGACTACTTTTAAATAAAAACATTCTTAATATATATATGTATAATTAATAAGAATGTTTTGTAGAATGAATTATAAATTTGAGACACAAAGTGTATTTATATTTAAGACTAAATACAATTATCAGTTAGTTTTTATATTAAGAAACAAAGTAGCATACATATATAATTGAATTTGAAATTGTTTATATATATATATATATATATAGTACCCCCTTCATTCTTATATACAAGATACAATTTTTGAGGCAGGCATGGTTGTATTTACGAAGATACACTTACTAAGGGACATCTGAAATTAACTAATTTTCTTCATTTTTACCCCTCATTAGTTATTTGTATATCCCTGTATTAATTATTATCTCTTTTTTTCACTAGTTCTCTCTCACCCACTCTCACTCTATAAATAAGACTATTTTTAAAATAAAATATAACTTTTATACATTAATTGCCTTTAATTAATTTCTTAATCTATTCCCCCTGGCTCATAATAGAAATCATTTTAACCAATTCATCAATATCATAAGAATGGTATTCAATTCATTAAATGTATTTTAACTTGATTTTTTTTTTCAACTTTGCCCACATTAAATGAGGTTGTGAAAGAGAGAGAAGCATATAAGGAGTTATATTTAAGCATTAATTGTAGGGCAAAACTGATAATTAAACATTAATTACTCTTCAAGTTATTTATATTTTGAGCCATACTATTTTTCTATAAGCGACTTATACTGTGGACTATAGCAGTATGTAATTTAATTATTTATATCTTATCTATAGGATCCAAGGGAGTATAAATTACCCAGATTTGTAATGTTCAATACGCTCTCAAGAATACATTTTTGGTTTTGTTAGAGACCAGTTTTCGAACTTAATAGGGACCTCCTGTGCCTTACTTTGCCAAACCCACATACTTTGAAGATAGTAGAAATCAATGCCTTTGATATAAGATACAAAGGAGTTCTCAAACAAAAAATATTGATGCAAAAGAAAGTATTATTGTTTTCACATCTAAACATTAGAAACCAACCTAGTTTGAATCATAAAATCCTTAAATCACTGATATTTTTGGTGTGGAGTCTAGTCCGACTCTTGAAAACATTGCATGTGAAAATGTGAGGATGAGCATATGACTTTCTTTTCCAATAATGTACGTGGAAGATAAGAGCGTATAATCCAATCAAAACGTGGGCTGCCTAGCTTCACCATCAATATAATATATATATATATATATATATATATATTTATATATATCCCAAAACAGGAAGCAGCCCCTTGAAAGCGAAATATAATCATTCTGTATCTCTTTGGTCATCTTTCTTTTTCAATAATGTCAGCTTCCCCTCTTATTCAAAAAAGTGCAAATGTGATTATGACTATATATATACGTGCATGCATGACTCTTATTCATACCACATTCGAATTTCGAGGAGCATAACCAGAACCTAGAGATCTCCTTAATTTCATCTGATCTTCATCAGTCATGGCATTGGCCTCAACTTTTCTCGTCAGCCCTTTCGTGGCACCAGTCGCCATTAATCCCCGCAATAAGGTAACAACGTAACGATCATTATTTCAAACACTTATATATGATTAAACAGCAATAAACTTGAACTGTGAAATGCATGTGCAATATAGTGTTTACGTTTCTCTTTATTGTATTTTAGAGCACAAGTGCTGGAAATAAGTGGGATAGCTTGGGATTTAACAATTTGAAGTCGAAACGACCCATCCATGCAAAGGGGTTCAGAGTAAACTGTTTGATCCAAGCGGAGGCCGACAGTATTGGAAAGAGAACTACTAATGTGCTTTTGGCTAATGGTTTGTGATGTGTTTCTTGTGCTTAAATTATGTGTGAGAATATCTATCTACATACACATACACTCACACACATATGATTTTTGATTTATATGTTAATAGTTTAAGCTTCTTTTTGCAGAAAAGTTGCAGACACGCGAACCGAGCATGTCCACAGTGTTAGTGAATTACCATAATGACTTTGATCCCTACAAAGCAACCTCGACACCAATTTACCAAACTGCTACTTTCAAAATGGTGAAAATTTGATCTATACTTATGCTCAGATCTTAAGCATATTGGTTCCATGATATTCTTTTCATATTCTAATTGTCTTCTATATGTTTTTCATGCAGAAATCTGCCACAGAATTTGGTGAATATGGCTATTCCAGAAATGCAAATCCTACCCGAGATACTTTGGAGAAGTGAATATAACTATTCTTGATTATTTTGTCCATAGTTTGCTTCTTCGTTTCATCCCCTTTGATGAGTTGGCTTAATTTGTATCTTCAGGTTACTAGCACAGCTTGACAATGCAGATAAAGCCTTCTGCTTCACCAGCGGAATGACTGCTTTGACTGCTGTTTGTGAACTCGTTAATCCTGGTGCATTTCCTCATCCTAGTTTCTCTAGTCCTTTTGAAATTCGTAATATATATATATTGAATCCATAAAATTTTATTTCCATTAAGAAAATATTAGAGGGACGACTTGTGAACGGATATTCTCATAGCTTTCTACTGAATGATTGCTTTTTATTGTCATTTACTGTTATATATAATTTCAATGCAGGTGACGAAATCATTGCTGTGGAGGATATCTATGGCGGATCGTATAAATTCTTGAACGAACTAATCGCAAGAAAAGAAGGAGTTAAAGTGACGTAAGTTTGACATTTCATCTCTTCGGATGCTTTCTTTTTTCTTGCGGAGTACTGGATTATGCAGAACAGATAATTCTTGGATTGATTCCTAGAACATGGTGATGATGAGGTCATAATGTTTAAACGCACAGAAAAGTAGATACAAGTAATCTAGAGAACGTGGAAGCTGCTATGGGAATTAACACTAAGTTGATCTGGTTAGAGAGTCCCAGCAATCCGCAGCTCAAAATATGTGACATTCGAGTAGGCCATGCCTATATAATTCTTATCTATATTCTTGCAATGACCCAACCACAAAAATTTTAAATGTTAGGAAATTAATTTGCTTCACGTTTTTCTTGATTTATGTGCAGAGAATATCAGAGATTGCCCATGCACATGGTGCTATTGTATTGGTGGACAACAGTGCAATGTCTCCTGTGTTAAGTCAGCCATTGGACCTTGGAGCAGGTATGTTCTATTAAATCATCCTTGCTAAAGATAATAAAATATAAATATATTTATTAATGTAATAACATACATGCATGCTTCTTAATGCTCTCTTTCCACTATTTGTGCGTGTGAGTTGAAAGAATTTTTAAGGAAAATAAAATTATTTTAACTGCGATTGGCACCCTTGCTTGGAATTTGTTTAGAACACCCTATATGTAATACAAACTAAACAATAAATAAATTTCTGCTAAGTGACGGTTCCTATTTTCCTTTTTCCAGATATTGTTATGCATTCAAATACCAAATTTGTTGCTGGAAATAGCAGTGTCCTGGCGGGGAGCCTCGCTACAAGGGATGAAGGGTAGGAGCTCTAAATATTCTTTCAAACACTTAAAATGTTGAAGATATTGATTTGTTTGCGAGCCATTTTCAATCTGATAATTATATACAACGACTTTTCGAATTAAATTTCAATTAAATGATAATTTTCATCAGTATTTTTTTTTTTTGCCAGCAAATTATCGTCAGTATCTGATACATAGCCATCAGTATTTATGTGCATGTGATCCTTATAACTATGAAGAATGAAATGATACTCTCATTAATATTTCCAACATCATTCTATGGTTTCATATTGCTTGGTCTTGCTGGTCAAAAAAAATATTGCTTGGTCTAAACCGCCATTCCTTAATTATATTAGATAAAATGAGAGATATTTGGCATCTTGCATTCACGAGAGACAATATAATTTTGTGTTTTCTTTTTCAGATTTTATTAAAAAAAAATACCATGACGAAATAAATTATGCATTTAAAAAATGTTATTAAATCTTGAAAAATATAAAACTGCACGATTTCATATATTAAGATACTTGGAATTTTTCTTTTTGTCTATACGGAAATGGTAAAAGAAGAAGAAAAAAAATTGAGAAGTTCATGCGTTAAGTTTGTTGTATGTTGTGAATATTATTTTCTATTGATTCATTAATTAAGTTCAATTTTAATCAGCCATTTATTTTATGCTTTTTTAAGTTCAATTAATAATGTAAATCTATGTGCTTCCCTCATATTTCTTTTTTCATTTGATCATCCTATAAAGGTTGGCAAAACACTTGGAGGCTTTTAAAAATACAACGGGCACTGCCTTGTCCCCATTTGACTCCTGGCTCTGTTTAGAAGGAATTAAAACAATGGCTCTACGAGTTAAGGAGAAACAGGTACGCACCTCACAAAAACATTCTAATTATTATAAGTTATTGATAGCTTCAAGCTAAGTCTGTGAACAATATGATCGTTTGCCTTCCAATATATTCCCCTTTTGCACAATTCATTTGATAAAATGGTTTGTTTACATAGTCACTTATAAGAATATGTACACATACACACAAATGAAAGTAAATAAAACTTTTAGAGAGACTTTTTAATGTTCTGAACTAATATGTATACATACGTATGGTATCTCTGCAGCTATGCTTCCCATTTAAAATTTCAACGACAATGTCATTATTTAGTTCCATTAAAAAATAATAATAATAAGTTGGAGCAAACATTATATTTTGCAGAAAAATGCACAAATAGTTGCCGAGTTTCTTGCCTCCCATCCTCAAGTAACGAAAATAATGTATCCTGGTCTTTCTAGTCATCCTGGATATGACTTGCACCACTCGCAGGTATATGATTTTCCTGCAAAAATTAAATATTAATTTTTTTATTAAATATGCTTGAAATAATTTTATCCAATAATGGAGTTACTATTTCACAGGCGAATGGGCCAGGATCTGTGCTTAGCTTCACAACAGGCTCACTGCCACTCTCAAAGCATATTGTTGAAAGTACCGAGTACTTCAGCATGACTGTCAGTTTTGGTAAGTATTTGTATTTTTGGGAATATATATGTACACACATTGTCACGTAAGTTTTTATCATTATGACGTATTTCCCCTACTTTAAGAGTTATTTATCATAATTAACTAAAACGGTAAGGTGGGAATAGAAGGTCAAAATTTTGTATGGTTTGCCCTCTGACCATGTGATTTTTGTAGTCGTTTACCATAGTTGTTCTATTATTCCTTTACAATCAAAAGTAACAATAACAAACAAATGTAAAAGTTATTATTGCTTTGAAATTTTCAAAATTACCCCAGTAAAGTTTTTAAATTAGAAGAGGTTGTTCAATTAGTAAAGAGATTGTTTAGCAAAGGACATTTATAGAAATAGCATTATTAATGTTTTTGACAAGGAGTATTGCTAAGGATCATGGGGAATGATCTTCTATTAATGGATTGTTAGTCGTTTCAAGGATAAACTTGTTGATAATTCATCAGTAGCATCACTATAATCCTTATTATAAATTATTACTTGTAGGAGAAGTTTTAGGTTCTAAAAATAAATCACTTGTAAAGTACTTAATAATTACTACATTTAGTTCTTAATATAAGAGCTAGATAACTAATTTGTGAAGATTAAGAAAATTAATTAAGATGGTTAACTGTATCAAATGTATATTAACCTTCTGAACCTACCCTCTTTAATCATATATATTGGAATTATTTGTTGGTGAAAACCCTTTTAGAGACAATATTATAAATTTGATAGACAAAGTCAATCAAACTCTTATATTTAAAGTCAAATTCAATTTTCAAGTAACTTTTATATTGAGGACTGGAGGCAGTACTTTCTAATTCTATCCTTAGTTAACTCTTGTTGAAACGAATTACAAGTGACTTGACTGGAGTGGTAGATGAGACATATGTGTTGAAGTTTGTGAATATGTTTTCATACAGAAAGCTGACCATTGTCAATTTTGTTGGTAATGTTAGGGAGCGTAAGTTCATCGATATGCTTGCCTTGGTATACGTCCCATGCTGTCATTCCTGAAGGAGAACGTGTTCGCATGGGTTTAACTAAAGATCTTGTACGTATTTCTGTGGGGATTGAAGATGTTAGTGATCTTATTACAGATCTTGACAAGGCACTCTCATTTGGATCACTCTAATTTTCATATGTTCCGACTTTCTCTTGCTTCAAATAATATGTTGCTGTCATTTTGGTTTCAATTGAGGATTTTGTTGATTTGTTAGCTGCATTATCACGTTGCCATTTCTTTTTCTTGTTTTACCTATTTGTATAGCAATTTGTTATAACAACTTGGAATAATAAGCTTATTAAAGCGAGAAATTTTTATTATCAGGCTTCGTAATTGGTGTCTTTACCTTCCTTTAAAATTATTTGAATAGAGGATAATTTTCTCTTTAATTTATACCTCTTGCTTAATTTAATGCTTTTATGTTATTGGGACTTGGGATACGGACCTATGAATGAACACAAGAGAGCTTGACTTTAAACTTTGTACCTTTGGTCCGAACTCGTGCGCCTCTAAATGTATATATTAAATATGTTAACTCTAAAAAAATTGCAACTATATTAAAGAATATATATACACATATCTATATAGGATAAAGTATCATCCAAGGCACTGATGTTAATTTCTATTCTTTCTTTATCGTAATTTTATTCATGACTTATTCAGCATACATAAAAAAAATCATAACATTATTTACCTCCCTTTAATTTTTTTGAGTAAAAACAAAACATGCATAAAATAAAGTGAAAAGATAGATACAGCATAAAAGATCTCTATTTTATAATACACGGCATAAGAGTTCAAAAGACAAATGTCAATGTCGGAATGTTACGATGGACTTAAAAATCAAACTTTGAAATTTGGTACCATTAACCGCTGCCTATTTCATGATTTACAGTGGGCTAATCCCTATCCACCAGTGTGAAATCCCTATATTTTCTTATACAGTAATTTTCTTATATAAATTAAAGTCAACCTTTAAAAACAATACATACATAAAATAAAGTGAAAAGACTCATGCAACATAAAATAACTCTATTTTATGATTAAAACACGGCATTAGAGTTAAAAAAAGGGGAAAGGGGTTTCACCAGTTTCCTTCCCCTCCACTTTCATTCACTTCTGATTTTTGTCATGAGATTGAAATTTGAACGGTTCAAATTTCATATTTTATAAAATTATCAATAAAATATTATTTTTTTTTAAAAAAATAAACTTAAAGTACTAAATTGTAGCTATGATAATTTAAAACAATAATAAAAAAATATTTAATAAAACCATTTTATAAAATATATGTAAAATTTTAACCATTTAAATTTCAATCTTAGTTGTTGACATGAGTGGAGGAGAAAGAAAGTGCAGACATCCCTTTTCTGAGCGAAAGAATTGTCAATGTTGGAATAATTATTAAACATTGGGATGTTACAAGCGACTTAAAAAATCATACTTTAAAATTTCATACCACTAACCACTGGCTATTTCATGCTATGTAGCTGTTTAATCCCTATCCACAAGTGTGAAATCCCTGCTAGATTCTCTAATAAAGTAATTTTCTTATATAAATTAAAGGATAAGGTGCACTCGGTATCCTAATATATTTTGAAAGTGCATTTAGTATCCTAAACTATTTAATGGTGCCTCCAATCTAATAAAAGTGGAACACTTCTACCCCTAGTTAATAGATAATGTAACTCCGTTTAATGGGGAGGAAAAAAAAAGGCTTCCATTAAAATGATACCCTTGCCGGCGACAATGAGAATCTCACTCTTCCATCTTCCCATTTCTTATTATTCTTCTGTAAATTTGTCTTGATCTTCTTAACTCCCTGGTGCTGATTTCGCGTCTCACAAAATGCCCTCCAATAGAAGAAAAGTCGATGGACAAGATTCTAGATGTGGGACTAGGTTTTCTATTTCTTCTTCATCCAGATCGTCGTAGCCATCTCTCCATAACTTATCATTGGAGGTGGTGCTCATACAAAACCTCAGCGACATTTTCTTCTTCGAAACCTATCCCTTCTTCTTCCTCACACGAGGCGGCGGTGAGAGAGGCAAGACGCCGTCGTCGTCGTTGGACGCACCGGAGGTTGAGGAGCTATAGATTTTGCGGCGAGACGCAGACCCATCAATCCAACACTGTGGATTTTGTGATACTCATGGCGATTTCTCTGGATTCACCATTTTCAAATAAATCTACTGAGAATTTATTCCTTTCTTCCTTTTATAAATTCTACTGGAATCTGTTAAATGTTTTTGTCTTCGAAAAGACAAATATAAGACGACATCAACTAAGTCAGGGGGGCGCTCTTCATTTGAATTTGCCAACTATGGCAGATTAATTTGTTTGGTTGACCGCAGGGGAGGGGGAGGGGAGGTTAATTAAAGAAGGGGAAAAGAGGAGAAGAGAGGTCATAGGTTTTGTTTAGTTGGGGAGGAGGGGAAGAGATAGAAGATTTCTTGTTTGGTTCATAAGAGAGGGGAGGAGAGGTAATTATAAATTGATAAATATACCCTTATCTATATATTTAGACTTTTTTATATATATTTAGACTCTTTTATTCTTTTATTACAATATTTATATCAAAATTATTATTTCTTAATTTATCAATTTCAAAAATACCAATTACCTCACTTACATGTGATAAAAAATTATGATAAAAAGTTTAACATTCTATCTCATTAATTTTATAATTATAATACACACGCATGTGTATTAATATATATGATATGTATATATGATATAATTATAATACACACATGCTATGATATATATATATACACTAATATATATGCATGTTTGCAGCCTATATGAGATTATAATACACACACATCATGACATATAATTATAATATACACACGTTATGATATGTATATATCAATCGGTGTACATGAAAAATGATTCAATTGCTCAATACATGATATTCTTATTAGTTTCACTCTCAAAAACTGATTAAAATTATTCTCAATTTGGGTATTTTCTTCCTATTCGTTTTCAATCTATGCAAAATATAAGCCATGCTACATTATTATATCAACACAACAAAGTTAGAACTTAATAGAAAACAATCACACAGCATGTGAAGCCTATATATATAAATTAAGTATGCAGGCATACTGACAATGACAAAGACTTTGACTTTTCAAATAGCTAAGCAGTAAGTCAGCAACCTCCCCTACAGTATAATAATACCGGATGAAAAGAGATAGAAGGGAGAAAAGGTTTCTAATAAGAGGGGCAAATTTGGAATATTGAAAAACTAGTAGGGGTAGTTTAGTCAATATCAGATATAATATTTCTCTTCCCTCCAAAAAAACTCCAAATTTGGAGGGGACCAGAAGGAAGGGAGAGAAGCACTAAAAGACAAATTTCTTCCCTTCCCTACCCTCTATTTTTTCTAACCAAACACACTTATCCCCTCCCCTTCCTTTAACAACCCCTCCAACCAAACAGAGCCTCTAAACATAGAAGTGCTTTTACACGAAGGTGCTCGTTTTCAAAGTGCTTCTGAAACCACGGTTTGACCCAAACAGGCCCATAATAGTTCTCGCTTGTTGCTGTGGAAACCATTCATCATTTAAAATTTGTTAATATTTTGATTTAAACCTACTAAGATTTTGGGTTGTCAAGAAGATCAAACCAAACTTGGGGAAGAAAAGGAAAGATGAAAGAGTAAGCTTTTCATCATCCCGGGTGCTCGTTCAGTGTTGTGATCATCACTGTGATGCAATCTAGACTACATTCAAAATTAGATATAAATGGTTTAGATTTAGAATTTTTAATATGCAATTTTCTCAATAATAACTTTATTTTTTCAAAAAGTTTTAGTTATAAGATCATCTTTATTTTAAATTATGTATATATTAAAAATTATTTTAAATTATGTTTGTAATTATTTTTCTTTCTTGGGATTTCATTATAATTCTCCCATGAAGTTTTTTTTACAGATGGCATTTTACAAAATATGTGTCAATATTAAAAACAAGTAGAAATATACAGGTCTCAGTTGCATTAAATGGAGTAACATGGTCCGTTACCTTGGGTAGAATTGCTCCACTTTTATTAGATTGTGAGCAAAATTGCATCTCTAAATAATTTAGAGTGTTAGATGCACCTCTGAAGATAGTTCGAGTGTTGAGTACATTTTTATCCTAAATTAAATTCAAATTTTAAAAAATATGATTTTTTCAAAAAGATTAAATAATGTTAAAAGAAGCTGTTTTTGGTTAATTCCCGTATATTTAATTTTTTTGATAAATATGCGTTAAAATATTTTTATTTTCTACTTTAACCCTTTCATTTTTATATTAAAATTTTTCTATTTATTAATAATATTGGATAATTTGTAATTTATTTATTTATTTTTAATATTTTAAAAATTATTCATTTTTATTTTTCATCTTGAAAAATAAAATTTTTTGCTAAATACTTTTAAAATATGATAACATGAAAAATATATGCTTACCAAATGATTTGATTCTAAATTATTTAATGATGTTAATTTTAATTTGATTTTAAACATAATATATTTTGATATAGGGGTTGGGTTTTTTTTTTTTTTGTGAAAGGGGTTAGGGTATTTTAGTCCCTCACAAATTTGATCATTTTTCATCGTTCTGCTTTCTCTCATGCATCCATGTAAATCATTCATATATTTGATCATTTTTTTATGCTTTCTGCTTTCTCTCATGCATCTATTCAAATAGTATGGATAATAACGTTTTTTTTTTTTTTTGCTGGAGTTTTCTCCTTTCTCCTTTTTCTCTTCTCTCATTGTCGGTCTCTTTCAACTCTTCTTCCTATGCAAACGGAGGTTTAATGTTAATATTTTTTGCCAAAAAAAGTTAACGTTAATGTTAATGTACCGCAGTTAATTAATCTTAAATTCAATTTCTTTTGCTTAATTAGCAAAATTTTTTCTATCATGTTAAAGATGACCTGACCATGTGATTCACAGTAAAAAAAAAAAACCCTTTTTTTAGTGACTACTATTTTATTACATTCCAAATAAGGCATCAGGCAGCACGCCACTTCAATACTTTTCTCTGTTTTCAGTTGTTTGACTTTTTCATAAAATTACATGAAGATAGCATTATTGAGTCAAATTCAAGTATTATTAGGCTTAATTTGAAATC